AAGGATTTTTAACATACTTTTATACATTTTTCAGTGATAAATTTGAGCTGCTAATCAATCCGAATAACTAAATTTAAGCTTCTAAAGCCGGGATGTTAATAATAAACCAAATTTAAGCTTTCAGAAGCAGAGATGTTAATGATAGGCTTTAACAAATTTCCCACCTTTATAGAATCGGTTATAAATTGTAAAGTGCACTGGTACTAAACTTCTCAACCCAAATCACAGTCATGTTTCATAAATTTATTTGATAAGGTTATTCATTAATTTGTGTGAGAAAGACAGTTATGGTAATAGCTTAAAAGTAACAGAAACACAGACCTGGTCACGTTTACTAAACCCGTCGAATCTACTCTACTGCAGAGCAATTGTCTAGTTTAAAAATAACTGAAGCAAAATATAAAAGGAATTAAAATGAACAGTTGGGAGTATTTTCACTATACAAATATTAAAAAATTAAGTTTTGGAAATCCCTGAATTTGGAAAACCGTTCTGTTAGCATAATTAGCTATTCAGATCACTGACTTTTCCATAGTATGCAGATTTTATTCCGAATGATGTAGGGCGGTGCAGTGGGACTTGTGTTTCATATTCAAAGGCTGAGTTAATAAAATGGCTGGGATGTGTCTGAAAAGAAGGCAAACAGATAAGATGATTTCTGTGGACAAAATGTGTTATCTTTGATTCCCTACCCATGCTATTTAGTTTGTCGTAACTTGCCATGATGCTAATTAGGTGACAGAATGAATGAAGTAGCTTTCGTAGAAGAATGGCTGATGCTAAAAATAATAAAAAAGCCAATACCTAAGCTTGAGTAATTTCATTATTGTGCATTCAGACAGTTTTGAAATCTTTGGAATTCCTGCTGGGAAACAATTTTTCCTTACTGAATGGATCATTAAAAAGTCCATTTGCTACAACAAAACACATGTTTTGAATGTCTCTCTCTATATGTGTGTGTGTGTATATATATATAAACTTGTAGATATTTCTTTTCAACTATGATGCTTAAATTTATTTGATACAATTTAAAGAGTTAAACATTTTTAATACTGTTATTTTTTTAAGGTTGCTGTGTTCAGATAGTATTAACAAAAACATTGCTTCTAGATTGCTGTGTAGGCAGATAAAATATTGTCTCTCAAATTGTAAGGTATATCTTATTATTTACTTGAAAGCTTAATGATCTTAACAGTTGTATTTTTAACAACATATATTCAGCAGCTTAGAGTAGCAGTCATCTCTGTATTTTAGAGCCAGAACTTCAAAACAAATCAGGCTTATATGTGTTAAATATGTACATATTTAAATCGCTGCATAAAATACAAATATATCTTTCATATTTTACATAATCTCCATTCCTTAAAAATTATTACAGTTATTTACCAATTTCCAAGGTTCAAACCATTGGGAGGTAGATGAAAAATGAAATTGTACACACAAAAAGTTGCCTGGGATGTCATTTGCATTTTAATTCCAAGAAAAATCAAATATCATAAGGTGCATTTTTCACTGCTGTACTCATAATGGAAGATAGTTAGGTAGTTTTAAACAAGAGTCCAAAAATTCCAACCAATTCATATATAATCTTGCCCACACAACACTGAATGTCTGAATAAATAATTAAAATTGAGCCCTAAAATATAGTTATTTAGCTATAATTTCCCCTGTGTGATATGAAATGAGAAAATAGTAAGTAATTCCAGGTGATTGACTCCATTCCTTGGGCTCAGTATGTGATTGTTAGTGTTGAAAAATAAAGAACTTAGATGCTTTAGTTTTTGTGCACCTTAAGTTCCTATAACCTCAAAATGAGGACAAAAGACTAAAAAGCTAAATTCTGAGTGTTGCTTCTGTACGTGAGGGTTTAGTTATACAGTAACAATGATGATTGCTCTGTGCAGTATCTTTAAAAATAACTCTCAGAGTGCTGATTTTCACAATTAGAAATAAGTACAATTAAACTAGTAATTAAAATGGAAATGTTAACAAACGCTCCGCATTGATGCCTCATTTGCAAGTACAGTTGATGATCTCGGTTTTGAGGCTGTCTGTCTCTGAGTTCCATCCTTACTGGAAAATTTCCCTGAGGATATTCCTTTTCTTGCAAAGTGAAGTGAATTATTTCAAAAAAACATATCAAAGTGCCATTTTCCGTACTGTTCTTTCAAGGAAATGGACAGTTATTTGCAATATATTAGGGAATCAGCAGGAGCAGAATTAATTTATTGCAACAGCACCCCTCACACTCAATATATACACTTTGTGTCACTTTGTATCTAGCACACGGTATTTGTCATGAGAAAATTTTCAGATGTAGTATTCACTAACGTTAACATTACCCTGCTTTGACACTAAAATGTCAAATTTCCCTTGAATCATTAGAACAGTTAGTTTTTTTTGAGCAAAGTATACATTTGACCACCACACATTTTCTTAGGGGTAGGCCCATATACATAATGCATACTCATTTTGAGACCCACAAGTTTTGTTACATTCTGTAAATTTAATAGGTTCTTTTCTTTCAATCTGTGATTTTTTATTATGCAAACATTTTCATCTATAATGAAAATTTATTAATATTTTATGATGAATGTAATCTGTGACTTTTCTCCTGTTACCGGTGATTTTTCTTCTGGCTTAAATCATCTTTACTAAAATAAAATGGATTGAATCAGCTCTTACATACCATGCCACTGTAGACAAGTCACGTGAATTAGACATACATACAAGACCAGTGTCAACACACTTGGCATAAGGGAGCCATCCGAGTTTAATTCAGGAGTTATGGGGAATTACGGAGGCATTTGAGGTTAGGATAGAAGCTGGTGAATTAGACATCCCAGATCGGAAAAGACACCCCCCTTCCCCACCCAGCCAGTGAAGAATTGAGGAGACACCCAAGGTCAATCGGTGATTGAACTGGGGAATTATACTGTTCATGTACACTGTGTGACCAGTATGTGTCCTGGCCATTGTGCATACACTTGGGGCATTAGGATATTCATGGTCAGAATTCATACACCTGGGGAATTAGGGAGCCATGTCAGGCAAGGGTAAACTCCTGGGATGTTAGAGACACGTCGAACTGAAAAGTGAACTGTTTGTAATAGGAGTCTCAGTCCTCTTTACAGTTGGTCTTCCATGTGACTTTTACCACATCATTTATAACATGATGTATTAAATTGATGGAAAACGTCCTCAAGTTGGTATGTTTTTTTGAATAGTGCACTCATAGCCATATTAATGTAAGAAAAAATGTGAATTCCCTGACTACTGTGATTTTGCTTTATATATAAAACTTCAAAATTCTTTTTAAAATGTGTTTTATACTATTTATATTTGGTTAAATTTCAGATAAGAAAAGAATACATTTCCATGGCTTTTTAGAAAATGTAGTAAGTTTGATGTCTATGTATGCTTTATTTTAATGTGAACACAGAAAACTATAGAGGTTATTATTTTTATCCCTTTGGAGATAAAGCAGTTGGGTAATGGATAACGAACCACCTGCCTTCTGTTTGGAGAACGTGCTCCTGTGGCTTCGTGTTCAAAGAAGCCCTCCTGGTACCCATTGCTATGTTTGTTCTATGTTGTAAGTTAATAAAGTCACAGTCTAATGATCTTATTGACTAAAGTACACTTCAGAGGATCTTTTGCCCAAAGGGTCCTCACTGTTATAAAGCCATTCCCAGTATTCCTTTGATATTTTGCTTTACTGTCCTTTCTTGTGGATAAATTAAGAGGAACAGTGATATCAACTATTCACTTCCAATGCTGGGTCCATTGCAGCCAGCCAGCAGCCAGCCACAGTTAGTACCTGGAAGCCAGTCCTTCCTCTCTCGGGTTTAGTAAATCTGCAAAAGCAAAAGCTAAACCAAACAAAATCCCCATTTTATTAATGTGCAAGTATGCTTACTATTTATTTTGGAGGCTTACTCAATTTTGCGTATTTCTTGACATGTTTTTCTTGTGGAAAATAAGTATTTATTTTCAGTTAAGGCAAAATAGTCATCTTTCAAATATGTTATCAGTTAAATAATTTATTGAATTTATGCATACATCTTCCTCCTTCATTTATCTAAATTTACTAATGGCTCACAGTTAAATGAAGTCATCAGTAGTCCACTGGATATATCTTTTCCAATTTCAATCTCACTCTTATTTAGTCATGACCGCTAAATTTACCCACCTATCATTACTGAGATCATGTTGGGGAATAACAAAGAAAATGAAATTTGATGTACAGTTTTGTATAACTTATTTTCTTATATTCCCTCTTAAAAGCATTGAAGAAAATCTGAACATTTTATGGTATCCTGTCAATTACATCACTGTATTTGGCTCTTTAATAAAAATTTTTTCCCTTCTTTTTCTTCAAGGGCACATCTGTAAATGGCAATTAATATTCATATTTTATTAAACATGTGTTTTAAAATCTAGCTTTCCTTCTACAGCTGGATGTCACTAGTATTTTCTCATTTTGTTTTTATGAGGAGTACGTATTTATTAACCACGTGCTGCATGTTCAACTCTGGCAAGTCTTGTTACTCGCCCATGAAATTCCCTCCAGTTCTCTTTCCAGTGGTTGTACAATTAACTATCCAGTCCCTACCTATCAATGCAGATCCCTTATGTGTTTTCGATTTAATTTATCTTGTTTAACCCAATTTCTCTCTGACATAGAAGCTCTCCTCTATGAGTCCTGAAGGTGGACAGAAAGTCCATTTTGATATCTTCTCCCATCTACTTTCATCCTGCTGGGCTCTTAGATGCTTGGATTTCCATTATTGTTGTTTATAAGTGAAAAACAATATTTTGAGTTTTAGTACCCAGTGACCATGTAATGAATTGCTACCTGAATTTTCTTCTACTTAAATTTTAAAAGCCGTATTATGACTGCTGGTCCATGTTAAAATTTTGAATTCTGCTCCAGGAACCTTTATTACTGCTCAGCAGTGTGCATTTTGCTGACCTGGCATTGCTTTTCATTCTTTCAGGGAGAAGCTCTGCCTCCAGAATAAATTGCCTTCGAAATCTGTGAGTGCACAACTTAACCTAAGTTTTATTTGATCTTTATGCCGCCAAAAGTTGTCAATTTTAATGTTTCATTTATTGCCAGTTCTTCTATATTTCATGAATTGTATGATTTAAAAAATTTGTCAGTGAAATTACATTTTTCGTAGAAAATCTCTCTTTAAAAATCTGTTTAATGTGTCAGTGAACACATCCTAAAATTAAAAAGTAGTACTTTCCCTTACTTTCATTTTTAAATATGGTTTTATATTTCTACAGTAAAAGTTTAGGTACTCAGAATTGTGAGGTTGTTAGCAGAAAGCATTCAATATCCTGATTGTCAAAATACGAGAGGTCCCTCCGTAAAAGCTCACCAATCATCCCAGCGTCCTTGATCTCTTTGCCTGTGAACTTCCCGGCTCTTGCAGTTAATGTAACACACCTTTGTCCTAATTTCATGTTGTTTTGACTCATTCATTGAATATTGGATTTGCCTCCTGAAGTAAATAAGAAACTTTCTTACGACAGAGGTTCTCCTACAATTGTACATTCCCTAAGCTTCTATAATTCCAAAGGCTAAATTATTAATCAAAAGATTGAATTTATTGGTTACTAAATAGACTATCTGAAAGAATATTTATGCAACTGATTAACTTTTACCAATAGCACCATAGAGATACAGGTATGTTAAGTTAAACCTTAATTTTTATAGGTAGGGAAAATTATCCATAGAAATTAAATGCATGTCAAAAATAAATAGAGGAAAATTGTTCTGTGTTAACATTTTTGAAATGTTGAAATGCTATTTTCTACAATGTATGCTTACACATGTTGTTTATTTGTTAGCATCTTTATTCGTGGATCAACAGAAATAGTATTCTTTTTTATTTTAGATGAGTGACTGTCTAAACATGCACTCAAAACATACAGTTTAGGCTATTTAAAATATGAAACATAGGCAAATGATTCTTCTCTCACCTAAGACCACAATTCGTTAATTTATGACTACAGTGATGGTTTTGATGTGTAACAGACAGCTGACATTCGAATTTAATGAGTGATTAAAACATGAAGTTTGTACTAAAGGAAGATTTCTGTGTATTTTATAACTCTTTCATATCAGATAATATAACAAATTGCTGGTCTAACTACCAGTGTTTCTTTTTCTGCAACCATGTGTGAGCTGTTAGCAAACTCTGAAGTTACATCCCAAAGAAAAGTTGACATTGAAATTTAAAGTGTTAAAATGCATTTTATGTCCTCTTTGTGGAACACGTACACGTACACGTGTACACACAACTCTGTTGGCATAGCATAACTCACTTAAAGGTATGTATCTACCTAAAAATGTCTTTAGGTTGGTAAAAACATATCCCAGGAATTTGTTTTTCAAACTTTTCCTGTTAAATATGTGTTTATCATTCTGCTTCATTAGTCATTAAGTTATAAAATATAATTATATATGCATTTATTTCTCGCACACATGTGGTCTTTGAATCGGTAGGCCTGATTTCTAATAGGTGCTGTGGAATGATAATCCCTCTGTGCACATTTTTTCCTAGCCCACAGGAAAGCAAATGCAATTCCATTTAACAGGTTGTTGTGCTGAATAACACAAAGTGGTGCGTGTGTCATAAGTACTTTCTATCTCTGTACAAGAGAGAAAAATGCATTTTGTTTCCTCAAATGCACATTTACATCTAGTCGTAAGAACCAAAGTGTATGTAGGCAGAAATAGGGAGGGGTTGGGACCACCCACTGCTGGGGCCAGCACCCAGTTGCCTGTCCTCTGGTGGGTCACCTTTCCAGGAATTTAATCTGAAGCCTTAAGGCTGTGGTTTGGCACGAAGCAATGATCTTGTTCATTAACTACACGCCCCTTGATGTTCAGCCCTCATTTAAACAACGTCACTGCGCTTCTTGCAGTTCTTTTTGCTCTTCTCAAACGAACTATGACCTTTAACTGAAAGGAGAAAATTAGTTGTGATACTGTGGCAAGAGATACCTTGTGAGATTTGAATTTATCAGAACAGAGTAGCTGAGTTTGGTGCTGAGAGAGAGCTGACGGTAGGGAAACAAATGCAGTAGGACTATGGGAAGAAAGGTGAAGTGTGAACTATATTTACAATAAACACATTAATGAGAAATCGCCACAGGGAAACAATAGATGAATAGTGCCTGAACATAGTGTTCATTGTCTTCTGTCTCAGATTTTCACTGTGCAAGCTGACAGTAAGCTCCTGTACGTAATGACGAGTGGCCGCTCCGCTGCCTTTTCTTTCTGAAATCGTGCCGCAGGTGACTCATCGGTCCTGATAACGGGGTGCAGGCTCCTCAGTTAGTACTTGCTGGGAGATGTTTGCAAAGGGTTTAATATTGAAACTATATAAAAAAGGTCTTGTAAGCAACCGAAATAGATGGGAAATTAGTAAGGAAATCAGCAAAGGATATAAATAGGCACAAAATGACAGCTGATTATGTGTAAAGTTGCTTAGTCTCCTTTATAATCAGATAAATGAAAAATAGAAATAAGGCACTGTTTCATGCCCATTGGATTCACAAAATGCGAGAGACACAACCAACCGTTGACGAGACGGTGGAGGGATGATACCTGTGGCCTGTAGCGTGTGCGAGCATGCATGGGTGCAGCTTCCTGGTTGAAATACAGAGCAGTGAGTTTCATAGGTGCTTTTGCCTTAAAATTCAACAATCCAATTTTTGTTATTATACTCCAGAAAATCTGGCCCTTAGTTCCCAGCAGGGACATACCTGATTATGTTTGTGGAAGTAGAGGATTAGAGGCAGTTCCAGTGTTTATTACTGGAGTGAAAAGCAGCAGAGGTGGTGGCTATGTGTTACGGGACACTTAACTGACATGTCTAATCTTCCAACTTAGTGTTAACCGAAAGATGTGAAAGCATGACTTGTGTAAAATGTTTAATTCAGTTACTTGAACCTGTGAAAAAAATAAAATATCATGTTAAATTATATTAATACATAAGGACAGCTGGTCATAGACATACCTTATTCTATGTATGTTTTTGAAATCCCTTTACAAAAATGAGTAGAACATTCAGTGTCATTCCTTACATTTTTTTGCATATTAGGTTTTAAAATGTTATGCATTTTTTAATATGGTGTAGATAATCTCTTGTTAAAGCGATTTCCTTGCCCACCTTCACAATACCATCAAAAGCACAACGAATATATAAAACATTCCATCAGTGTAATTTGGAAAAATGACAAGTCTGTCATTCTGCTCTTCTAATACTAGCCAATATGTTCACTCTGGGAAAGGAAAACTTACCAAGCCTAGGTCTAATTTGTATAGAATCACACTTTAATTATTTTGTCTGAGGACTTGGGGCCTATCTATTCCTTCTGTGAAATATTTAATGCACAATCCCAATTAGTCCAGTAAGTACTTCCCCACTCCTTCTCAGCCTTAATGTTAAAATCTCAATCTGATGCTTTTATTAAATTAAAGAGTAGTTTGCCAATCTGATGTCCAGGTGTATCACATACAGTTACTTATTTTCTTTAAAGTCACATGGATTCCTGATTTAACTTCTCTCTGCATTATTCATTATATAGGAGCAATACTGATTGGCAAAGCCATGTGCAATGAAGATAAGGCTAGAAAACACTTCCCTAAATAGTTGAAAATGAGTTATAAAAAAGTGATATTATAATTCTTAAATAAAATCCAAATACCATTAATAATTGTATTCATTTTCCAAGGGTGAAAAAATCTTATTATATAATAATGTAATATAACCTACAGGATAAAGCATCCATGAAAGTAGCTAATAGTTTTCTCAGTATCTAATATTAAAAACTGAGCAGTTAACAATATGGAGTGGCCAGTGGCAAGGAGTATTTGCATTTAATAGAATCTGCACAAATTCATATTCTTCCCTTTTACAAAAATAGAAAAGCCTGATATTTTACTGTGTTCAGACTTTTCTTTGGGGGAATGATTTAGGAATAATAGATTTCATCTTGAGCTCTCTGCTTCTATGACATGGTATTTATTCAAGATAATTTCTAAATTGCAGGAGAATACAAATTATTGATTCTTATTAATTTATTTACCATTCTGTCATTCTTGAATTTTCTAAGATTGTCCTTATAAGAAATGTATGTTTTGGTATCCAGCCTCCCAACATCTTGAATGATATTTAATATTGATATATATCTTTCTTTTTGTCATCCTGGAATTTCAAAATGCTAGTTGTGGTATGTCCTTTGTATGTTATGAATTAAAATACTTGCCATTCTTTAAAATACCATGTTATTCATGATTCACCTTTTATTAAAATTACATTCACAGACTACCGTAAGCATAGCCTTATCACATTTTATTCTCACCTAAATATTTGACAGTATAAATCAGTGTGCTTAGTAATTTTTTCATGTGCTATGGGGAAAAATAACTGGCTTTTAAATGATTTTGTTGAAATTGTAACAACAGCTCCACTTTTTCTCCTGATGGCCTTTTTCCCAGGTGGTCTATTTTTATCCTGACATTTTTGTCCATCCCATGAATTTCATCATGGGGAAGAAACAGCAGTTTGTCTTAGAGCAGCTCAATTTCGATCTCCAGGTGACAAGCTGATATTTCTTTTCCTTTGAAGAAACTTTTAATATGATGGGTTAAATGTCAAGGAAAAAAATCCCATCGTATATTGAACCTTGCTTACTTCATTTCTCTTAATATTAATGACATATTGACATTTGATTTTTTTAAAAATGTTCTTCCTTTTGTTATTTAACAGATGTAAAGATTTTTAAAATAATGCCTTCATTTTGGTATCTTGTACCCTGGCACAAGTCATTTAGTATAATGCCAGCATATTTGTAAATATGGAGGAAATCATCAGCTTTAAAGTTATTTACTTATCCTCAGCTGTACAATCATCTTGAAAAGTAAAACTTTGAATCTTTAGACTAAAAACTCTCCAATAGACTTTGTTCCTTTAAATTTTAAATATGGTATCTATTATGAACACATGAAAGAGAGA